CAGTTTGATGCTCCAGCAGCCGGAGCATCGACTCTTGCCTTCTGTCAGCAAGCTGACGCCACCTATCCTCTTCAGCCCACCATTTGCTCTCTTCAGCCCGCGATTCAGCCCGCCACCTCTCCTCTCGTTCATATTGTGCTTTTTTGCACTGTGACATTGACTGCCTCCACGCATTCTGCTGTGCTCTGTCAGTGTGGGAGGACATCTGGAGCTCCGAGAACATATCATCCCGACTCCGCCGTTTTCTCCTTCTAATCTTCACTAGCCTCTGTGAAGGAGAAACATTTGCAGCTGGTGGAGGAGAAGGGAGAGGTGGTTAAAAAAGACACATTTTAGAGAACAATGGGTACACTCTTTCACGTTAAATTTTGCTGTTCACATTACACAGCACATGTGCTTTCGTTACAAGGTCGCATTTTTCCTCTTATACTGAGGGCCTGCCGGTTTGGTGTGAGAGATCACTCACGCAGTGCCAGGCAACAGATTTCGGCTTGCAGGCAGCCATGGTAAGCCACAGTCTTTTGGCTTTTTTAACCTTCTTAACATGTGGGAATGGTTTCAAACAGTAGCGCCCTCATTTCCCATACCAAGCACCTGTTGGGTTGGCCATTTAAAATGGGTTTGCAATGTAAAAGGAGGGGGCTGCGGTTTCCGGGTTAACATGCAGCACAAACCCAACTACCCCCCCCCCACACACACCCAATTCTCTGGGATGATCACTTCACCCCTCCCCCCTACCACGTGGCTAACAGCGGGGAACATTTCTGTTCAGCCGAGCAGGAACGGGCACCTCTGAATGTCCCCTTAATAAAATCACCCCATTTCAACCAGGTGACCGTGAATGATATCACTCTCCTGAGGATAACAAAGGGAGATAAGGAATGGATGTTGTCTGCATGCCAGCAAACACCAGGACCATACGCTGCCATGCTTTGTTATGCAATGATTCCAGACTACGTGCTACTGGCCTGGCGTGGTAAAGTGTCCTACCATGGCAGACGGGATAAGGCAGCCCTCCCCAGAAACCTTTTGCAAAGGCTTTGGGAGTACATGAAGGAGAGCTTTCTGGAGATGTCCCTGGAGGATTTCTGCTCCATCCCCATACACGTTAACAGACTTTTCCAGTAGCTGTACTGGCCGCGATTTCAGGGCAAATTAATCATTAATCATTAAACACGCTTGTTTTTAAACCATGTGTAATATTTACAAAGGTACACTCACCAGAGGTCCCCTGTGTGCCCTCAGGGTCTGGGAGCACGCCTTGGGTGAGTTCGGGGGTTACTGGTTCCAGGTCCAGGGTGATAAACATATCCTGGCTGTTGGGGAAACCAGTTTCTCCACTTCCTTGCTGTGAGCTATCTTCATTGTCTTCATCATCATCTTCCTCGTACCCAGAACCCGCTTCCCTGTTGCGTGATTCTCCATTGATGGAGTCAAAGCACACGGTTGGGGTAGTGGTGGCTGCACCCCCTAGCATGGCATGCAGCTCCGCGTAGAAGCAGCATGTTTGCGGCTCTGCCCCGGACCTTCTGTTTGCCTCTCTGGCTTTGTGGTAGGCTTGCCTTAGCTCCTTAATTTTCACGCGGCACTGCTGTGCGTCCCTGTTATGGCCTCTGTCCTTCATGGCCTTGGAGACTTTTTCTAATATTTTGCCATTTTGTTTACTGCTACGGAGTTCAGCTAGCACTGATTCGTCTCCCCATATGGCGAGCAGATCCCGTACCTCCCATTCAGTCCATGCTGGAGCTCTTTTGCGATCCTGGGACTCCATCATGGTTACCTGTGCTGATGAGCTCTGCGTGGTCACCTGTGCTCTCCACGCTGGGCAAACAGGAAATGAAATTCAAAAGTTCGCGGGGCTTTTCCTGTCTACCTGGTCAGTGCATCTGAGTTGAGAGTGCTGTCCAGAGCGGTCACAATGAAGCACTGTGGGATAGCTCCCGGAGGCCAATAACGTCGAATTCCGTCCACACTACCCCAAATCCGACCCGCAAAGGCCGATTTAAGCACTAATCCCCTCGTCGGAGGTGGAGTAAAGAAACCGGTTTAAAGGGCCCTTTAAGTCGAAAAAAAGGGCTTCGTTGTGTGGACGTGTCCAGGCTTAATTCAATTTAACGCTGCTAAATTTGACCTAAACTCGTAGTGTAGGCCAGCCTTGGTATTGAATCATTTAACTGAATAAGTGGCATTTAGAAATAGGGTCAATGAAGAACCAGTTTTAGGCTTGCACAATAGAAAACTAGTTTGTCTAGAATACCAGTATTGACTATGTTTGTTCTTACTGGCTGCTTGGAATAGTCTTCCTGTCATAGACCACCAAGCTTCCTTTCTTTTTCTTCAAATGCTCCTTCAAGCCTCCCTCTGTGTTCAGGATTTTGTAGCCCAACCCACTCAACCCTTGTAATATTGAATAATTTAACCTATGGAACAGGGCATCTCCTACATTTTCCATTATTGTCACGGAAAATCCCAAAGGAAAGTGACCTCCTTACAAATTGAACACCACCTGGACTGAACTCTGGCAAGATGCTTAAGGTGGCGTGGCCTGGTTGAGTATTCACTTCACGTCCATTTGGCAATCTAGTCCTGCCACTGAAGCTTCTTGATGCCCACTGAGCACCAGCCATGAAGAGGCAATCATTGTTACACATGCTTGGAATTCATCCATTTTCCATCCTAATAATACCTCCATACCAAGAAAGCTACCAAAACTGAACCAGTGCTGATGGAGGTAGTTGCTAGGTTCACCTTCAAATATCCTCATTTCTGACCACGTCCTGTCACTTGATTTGGGGCAGCTAATGAAGACGATATGAATCAGAAATATCAGTCTGGTGTTCTCCAGTCTTTCTTAGCACCCATAGTTCACCGCTGTACAACAGAGTTAGTAAAACTATGGTTCTATAGCATGACATCCCCCCAGAGGCTGCTGGCAGCAATTGCTTACATAGAAAAGTAGCAACAGGACAATCTGTATTTTATCTTTAGCTTAATGTATTCATGTGTTCTGTCCTTTCTGAAAGCAGCTAATCACACACCTCTCTCTGCCCCCTGCATCTGTCACCTGGGCTCTGCCCGTCCTTCTCTGCTGCTCAGTTCCCTTAAACACGATGCTCAGTCACCTGCTGAAAGTTCATATCCGCACCTGCTCCCTGGGACATATTGCCCAGCTGCCTAGTTCTCTTCACCCCTGCATCTCTGGTCCCTCCCTGCTGGTAGGTGGGAGCTCCAGTCTCACTGGGTGCTCTGGAACTAAACAATGAATCCTATTTCCTCTCCTCCAGCTCTGCAGATTGTGTTGTTGTATCCACCTGTTGGCTCTCATCTGAGATTTAGATTATATGCTCTTCAAGGCAGGGACTGTATTTTCATTATGTATTTGTACAGTGTCCAGCACAATGGGGCCCTGGTTGGGGGCCAGAGGTGCTCTGCAATACAAATAATAAGTGCAGCCTGAATGGCCACCAGTGCCCATGTGTGTCCTACAAAAGATGTTTCAGAGGTGCACACTGCTAATAATGCTGCTGTCACTTGTATCTCTGGGAGCACTGCTCAGCAAAACAACAGTACCTGAGAAACAACATGGAATGAGGAAGGGATGCCAACCTAATTATTCCAAGAGTTTTCTCACAGTATACCTTCCTGGGCCATTTCACATAAATGAGACCAACAAGCAAGATTTCTAGCCACAGCAGACTGGCAGATGGACAGTGTAAACAATAATTGCCCAAGGGTATCCAAGATTCTCTAGTTCTCCGATATTCATGTGTCTACAGAACTGTTCGGATTATGCTCAGTTACATTCTCTACAAATCCTAGGATGCAACAGCTCTGCCTTTGGTTCTCAATATAGAGCCCTCTCTGCTACTCTGTGAGACCATGTGTATCCTCCTATGATTGTCAGCCCCCCCCCACCCTTCTTTCTTCATGATCCCCCAAATGTCTTGACCTCCTTTAAAGCCCTCTCAATTCTTTAACTTCACTTCTATTCCCTTTTCCCACTACAGTGATCAAAATTTATCCAGAGGAATTTCAGACTTCATCTTTAAAACCCAATGGACTAGTTTCCCCTTACAAAACCAGAGTTATTTATATTTTGTACACACTTCATACACACACTCCAATTTAATCTCATTCATTCATGTACAAAACCATCCTACTGAAACTGAGTAGCCCTTTAAGAGGAAAAAAGTTGGGTGAACATATGAACAAGGGTTTACATGCACCATCAAGTGTATTTGCTCTTGATTATTACTTACTATCCCATTGAAAAAGTTTCATTTGTCTAGTCACTGAGCAGAAATAATACCATGCTGTACAGGTGACTAATCAGACATTGCAAATAGGTGAAGTGACATCTTGAAAACAGACCCATCGGCTGAAATCTGTTCACATAAGTTATTTGGAAAATACTTACAAATAACGAATAAGATCACAGAAATAACAGTCTGTGCAAATGACTCAGTACTAAAAAAGAGCTAAATTAATTGGATAGTTTATTTGCTATGAATAATCTGACCAGCCTAAATTATTAGAGTTAGTCAATGCTCAGTGGGTTGTGAAAGAGTTAAGCTAGCAGGCAGCTGATACAGAACAGGGGTAGGGCACTGGGACGTCAGAGGGGGGAAATGGTCGGAGAGCTGTGCTAGGAGCAGTAAAGCTAGCTGAAAAATTCCGGCATTTGGCTTTGTTGTTATGCTACCCCCTACAAATTTGTATAGGCAACAAAACAAGTCATAGCCCCCCCACCCCCATACACCTCCAAGTTCCCCAGTGTCCCAGCAGGAGCTCTCCTCCCTCCCCCGACTCTACATACACCTGTGCAATGTCCGGGCAGCAGTAGGTGCAGAGGAGTGTGTCATACTAGCAGAATTTCCTACTCCCAAACCGTCCCGAACCAGGAAGTGACTGTAAAGTCTTCACGCTCCTCTCCTGAGAGCAACACGTCCCCGCCTGCTCATGGCACTGCCTGCAGCGGCGTCCCCCTGGGGGCACAACTGATGGCTGGAGAAATGCACATCCTGACCACATTAGACCATCTGCCCTGGAACTCCACCTCTGCGGAGCAAGGGGCCAGAAATGGGTCCCAATCCAACTTTTGGTACAATACAAACAAGGTAAGCCAGGGTGTGTCTGACCCAGGAGGGTTTAGGAGTGGGAGTGCCAGACAGAACCAAGGAGAGGGGGAAGGAGAGCCCAGTGGAGTTTATTACAGGAGTTACTACAGTTTCACAGGAAGTTTCTTTTTGCTGCCTCATGTTACTTGCTTTAAAGAGCCACTCTTAAGCAATTTACACCTGCTTTTCATTAGTTAATTAATCAGCATTCAGCCTCCGCTCCCTTAGCTCTGGACACCCCTCTATCCCCAAAGCATAGGACACTGAAAGATGCAAGAAATAGGCACTTACCAACCTTCACAAGGACAGACAAATGTTCTCCTATGACAGTTTAGGGTGTAGCTATTTTTTTAAGTGCCAACACTGTGCTTGGTGCTGTATAGGTCACAAAATGGAGACCGGCCCTGCATTTTAGAGCTGACAACTTGTTAGTACATCTGCTAATAATAAAAAAGCTTTCGAGGCTGATTACATACCTTGGCCTCCTCCCTTTTTATGGAGTCACAAACTGTGAAGTAATGGAGGTTAATAAACAGGCTATTCTGTTTGGATGAGAATTGAGCTCCCTTTTTGTAATGCAAAGTTCTTAATCATTACAGGAGACAGTCTTTTTTACATTTGACTTGTAAAGAGCTACTACCCCTCCCCACAAAATGTCCCAACAATAGATCATACTGCCCTTGAGGGTCCCAGTAACTCCCTCCCCTACTCTGATTCTGCATTCACCTATTGGGCAGGTATCCTGGCAGCAGTTAAGATAGAGGCATGTGTCAGACAGACAGTCTCCTACTCCCAAACCAGTGAGTGACTGTGAAGTCTACACAATTCTCTCCTTTGAGTAACTAGTCCTCTCCAGCGCTGGGTTGTGCCTGGTATTGCTTGTGGCAAGACTACAGTGCTTACCCAGGAACTGGGCAAGTGAGAGCCAGAACTTAAGTGATGCCTGATGATGACAAAGAGATAGACATCCTGAATGCCATAGACCAGCTATCGGGGAACTACACCTTCAGGGAACAGGGGGCTGGCAATGGATCGTTGTCTGACTTCTGGTCCAACACAGGCAAGGTAAATAAAATGACTTGCAAGGTAGGAGGGAGTTCAAGTGAGTTTAGAAGCTAGAGCCCAGGAGCCCAACTGAACTTGCTGAGCTACTCAGGGAAGGTAGTGCAGAGGAACTGCTGCTGTGACACAAGGAGTCAACAAGTGCTTATAATAGGAGGCTACTCTGTTTTACTCTCTCTAATGTCCAGCCCTGCTTTTGTTTTTTTAGGGGGTGGTTATTTAAGTATAACTTTTGTTGTTATTGGTTAGATAAAAGATGTCAGTACTCTTGGAGTTTTGAACTGTTTTGTGGAACATTCTATCACTTTAATTTGGACACCAGAACATGCTCTTTGGGAAAATACTTATTCTTTCTGTAGTCCCAGTTTTACAAGTAAACTGAGGAACAAAGGAAATAACAGTAGCTAGATCTAGGGTTGTGGGGACAGTGTGTGTGTGTGTGTGATATATATAATATTAAAAAAATAAGACTAACATGATGTATGCCCATCATTGGCCTGATCCCTCTGCTTGTGTATCTTAGCCCTTTCCCACACCTTTCACCTGTCTGTTTAGGCCACAGTTGTACAATGAGAAGTATGGACGTGCATCCCCGTGCACATGGAGCCCACTGAAGTCTATGGAGCTTGGTGTGCAACTCCTTGCAGGAGCAGGCCTTGGATTGTATTCTTTTTGCTGCAGGGACTGGATCTTCCTGTGTGTTTGTACTGCACCTAGCACAATGGGGCCCTGATCCTGATGAGGGCTTTTGGGCAGGAGCACAGTTAATAAGAAATAATGCTTATCAAGATATGGGTGTTGTGAGGCCTAAACCATGGTATGTAAAGCATTTTGAGGTCTTCTGATTATATCTCCCAGACTTCAGTTCCCAAACTGTTGACCTTTTTCCCTTTTCAGTTTGCCTCTTTGGAAGTATTGAAACTATTTCCTGTTTCCTTTTTTGGAAAATGGATAGTCCCAATTTTGTTTGTGGACTGATGTCCTTTTTCAGAACCTCATGTGGAGGGCCCTGAAGGCAGGTGATCTTTGACCATGTATAACAAAAGTATAGGAGCCTTTTGTTTTATAGAGAAGTGAATGATAATGGCTGAGGCAGTTTATTGTTAGTGTAGAAAAGTCCATCGAGTCAGAATCATGTATTCTCACATTTTCCCTGTGCCTGCCCTGTACTACACATTGTTACATACTGACATGTTTAATAATGGATTCAAAGTGGATTAAATATGCATTTAGTTACCTGTAACATTGCTTGACAAACTATTGTCACCTTTTGGGAACTTGTGACTTATTGCAGTCATTCCCAAACTTTTTAGGAGGGCAACCCACCAACTGCATTTGTCTCTTTTTTTTTTTGTGACCCACCCAGGGTCCAAATTCATGGGGGTGGGGGCAAAATCATAGGCCAACATCTTCATCTTCTGTTGCCACTTCCTTCTTGCTCCACCACGGGGCATTGACTGCCCTCAGTATCACCTTCCACCCTGAGGCCTGGTCTACACTAGGACTTTAATTCGGATTTAGCTGCCTTAATCCGAATTAACCCTTCACCCGTCCACACTACAGAGCCAGTTAATTCGAATTAAAGGGCCCTTTAAATCGATTTCTGTACTCCACCTCGACGAACGGAGTAGAGCCTAAATCGATTTTGTTAATTCGAATTAGGGTTAGTGTGGACGCACACCACCGAATTACTGTGTTTAAGTTAATGGGGTAGTGTGGCCGCACACCACCGAATTAATGTGGTTTAAAACCGAATTAAGGTGCTTAGTGTGGCCGCGCACAATCGAATTTATACAACCTGTTTCCCAAATTCGAATTATCTAAATTCGGATTAATCCTGTAGTGTAGACATACCCTGAGACTGCAACCAGGGCCGGCTCCAGGATTTTTGCCGTCCCAAGTGGCGGGGGGGGGGGGGGGGAGGAAACCGCGATCGCGATCGGCGGCACTTCGGCGGCAGCTCCACCACGCCACTTTCTTCTTTGGCAGCAGGTCCTTCCCTCTGAGAGGGACCGAGGGACCCGCCGCTGAATTGCCGCTGAAGAGCCGGACGTGCCGCCCCTTCCCCTTGGCCGCCCCAAGCACCTGCTTGCTGTGCTGGTGCCTGGAGCCGGCCCTGATTGCAACCCTAATCCCCGCCTAGTATGTATGTATGTGTGTGTGGCGAGGGGAGGTTGGAGAGCGAGCACACCCCATGTTCACCCTTACTCCTGTCCCACACCGCTGGGCCTGGCTTCCCACTCTGGGCATTGCAGCCTGGGCACCCCCAGAAATTTTTCACGTGGTACACACAATTGAACCATTCTCATTTTCACTTGGCATGGCGTCTACACACACTCTTTTATCTTACATTGGGCACAATGCAGCTAGGCCAAACTCCCTTCTGTCCACCTCCCAGGCTCTCCGCTGCCCCTCTCCCAGTTGCAGGGCCGGCTGTAGGCACCAGCCAAACAAGCTGGTGCTTGGGGCGGCACATTTTTAGGGGTGGCATGGCCGACGCCAGAATGCCGCCCCTAAAAATGTGCCGCGGCCGCCCTAGCTCACCTCCGCTGCTGCTGCCTGGGAGGGAGGGGGAGATCCCGAGCGGCCGCGGCGCGCGAAACAGCTGTTTCGCGTGCCGCTGCTCCCCCTCCCTCTCAGACTTGAGACCCTGGGAGGGAGGGGGAGAAGCGGCGCCTGCGCCGCGGCCACTCGGAGTCTCCCCCTCCCTCCCAGGCTCTCAAACCTGGGAGGGCGGGGGAGATCCCAAGCGGACGTTTCGTGCGCCGCTGCTCCCCCTCCCTCCCACCCAGACTTGAGACCCTGGGAGGGAGCGGGAGAAGCGGCGCCCGCGCCGCGGCCACTCGGAGTCTCCCCCTCCCTCCCAGGCTTTTAAACCTGGGAGGGAGGGGGCGATCCCGAGCAGCCGCGGCGTGCGAAACAGCTGTTTTGCGCGCCGCTGCTCCCCCTCCCTCCTAGGCTTGAGAGCCTGGGGGGAGGAGGCAGGGCTGGGGATTTGGGGAAGGGGCAGAGTTGAGGCGGGCGGGGGGGGGCGGCCAAAATTGTTTTTGCCTTGGGTGGCAAAAACCCTAGAGCCGGCCCTGCCCAGTCGGCTCCCTTCTGTGGGCACTCACCGTAGTTCCCCATGCTTGTAGCAGGTCTTAAGGCTGTCACTGAACAAGTCCTGCAAGCAGAGCAGAGGGGACATGGGGTGCTGGAATCGGGGCGAGGCCATACAGGCCCCCAGGAGGGAGCCTTGGTGCAGGAGCTGGCCCAACGGCAGCGGCAAGGAGGAACAGCGCTGCCCGCTCAGGTTTGGCCTCATGGCCCTGCATCATGATGGGGGGCACCAGGGCTAAAATTGAGTGAGTGGCATTGCAACCTGGTGCACGAGGGTCACAGCACTGCTCAGATTTGGTCTTGTGGACTCTCCATCATGGGGGCCAATATTCTTGCCGGCAAGTTGAAGAAGTATGGGCTGGATGAATGGACTGTAAGGTGGATAGAAAGCTGGCTAGATCGTCAGGCTCAACGGGTAGTGATCAATGGCTCCACGTCTAGTTGGCAGCCGGTATCAAGCGGAGTGTCCCAAGGGTTAGTCCTGGGGCCGCTTTTGTTCAATATCTTCATTAATGATCTGGAGGATGGTGTGGACTGCACCCTCAGCAAGTTTGCAGATGACACTAAACTGAGAGGAGTGGTAGATACGCTGGAGGGTAGGGATAGGATACAGAGGGACCTAGACAAATTAAAGGATTGGGCCAAAAGAAATCTGAGGTTCAACAAGGACAAGTGAAGAGTCCTGCACTTAAGACGGAAGAATCCCATTCACTGTTACAGACTAGGGACCGAATGGCTAGGCAGCAGTTCTGCAGAAAAGGACCTAGGGGTTACAGTGGATGAGAAGCTGGATATGAGTCGACAGTGTGCCCTTGTTGCCAAGAAGGCTAATGGGATTT